TCTCTTCCTTGGCCTGATAACTCACCTGGTCACCAAGTGTTGCCTGTCACAGATCTTGATAGAGAGATGAGCTGTCTCCCCTCCACCTTTGCCATGAACCTGGCAGCAGGATGGTTGACACTTAGTGTTGCACACAGCCTCTGTGGGCTGGACGTGGTCCCCACCTGAGAGGTGATTGTTTCTCCACCAAGTCCATTTGCCAACTTGTTTATTTCTGCCCCTTAGGAATGGTTTATTCCAGGCTGCAGGGGTCTTCCAGAAATTCCTTTAAAACCGGTTCACATGTTAAACCTTCTAATCCCAGATTATTTTAATTGGGAACTTTTCCTTGATGAGTCAAGGAATTCTAGTCATGTGGTAAAGGATGCTAATGACCTGCCCCTTGAGTCTTGAAATGCCCAACTGCCTGTCCTGTGTCACTAGCCTGGGTGAGGTAGGACACAGAACTCACATTGGAAGACCCATGGGCCTTCTCACGCTTTCTCTCAGGACCACTGCTCAGGCCCAGCCAGCTCTCTGCCCACCACCTCCCTCTCAGGCTCTCAGCCTCTCCCTTCCTTGGGTCTCCTGTGCCTGTGCAGAGACGGACTCTGGAATAAGTTCAGTCTCTCCTGTTGCCTGTGGCTCTATGAGCTCCACAGGCAGGCAGATGCTACTCCTTCTGAGGTCATGACTCCATTTTCCATTATTCCTCTTGCTGCTTCCTTTTTATGAGGACTGACTAAGAAATGTATAAAGTGTCCTGGAGGACTCGGAACACCGAGTTCTCCAGGCTGCCTTTCTGCCCCTTCGGGGGGCGATTACTGACACAGTTTCTGGAGCATCCACAGAGTGTCTGTTCCTTTCTGGCATTCAACTTGTATTGTCCAGAGAGAAAGACAGCTACCTTTCTAACTATGTGTAAACTGGGAATTTAAATAGTGCCTAAGGCACTTGACTACTAACCAGAAGGCTGGCAGTTCAAACCCACCAGCCACTCCTCAGAAGGAAGATGGGGCAATCTACTTCCATAGAGATACCACTTTGGAAACCCAAGGAGGGGTCACTATAAGTCGGGATTGACTCAATGGCAGTGAGTTTGGTTTTTTTGGATTTTATACACACACACACACACACATACATACATATATATGTATGTGCATGTATACAAACTTATATATGTATAACTCTACATGGATTTTAAAATATATATCATTTAGTGTAAAGTCAAATTTGTGTCTATAGTTTCAAATAAATTAATTCAATTATCTTTAAATGACTGCAAGATATGTTACTGATGAGGATCTTTTGCTCTCTCTTGGGAGCCCTGTAGTAGTGTCACCTGAGACTTTGGAAATAAGTCTTAGATGGCCATCCCCATTAAGAGAAACACAGAATCCAGTAGTTACATAGATGTGTAGGCTCATCAGAGAACAAATGTCTCAAGTATGGAAGACGTCACGGTGCACTGATCAAATGTCGACTAGCAGGGACATTGGCCCACCAATGGGAATCTCCAGAGGCACCTTATGACCTGGGTCACTAGGGCAGTATCTAGGGAAAGAGGAGGCCATCACAAGCAGTGTAGAATGCACTATTCCCACGAAGAGCAATCAGGCTGATTCTGAGGACTTGCTCTAAGAAAGTGCTTGATCTATTCCTGGACTAAACTAAAACAGCCAACCCACTGCTGTCTGGTCAATTCCAACTCATAGTGACCCTATAGAACAGAGTAGAACTGCTCCGTGGAGTTTCCAAGGCTATAAATCTTTGTAGAAACAGACTGTCAAGTCTTTCTCTTGTAGAGTGGGTTCAAATAGCGACTGTTTAAAGACATGGTTTAAAATCGGGAAGGGTGTACATAAGGTTCGTATCTTTTTACCCTACTTATTCAATCTGTGTGCTAAATGTACGCTGAGCAGGTAACCCGAGAACCTGGGCTGTATAAAGAAGAAGGCAGCATCAGGACTGAAGGAAGACTTGCTAACAACCTGCTGTGTGCAGACGACACGTCCTTGCTTGCTAAAGTGAACATGACTTGAAGAATGAAGTCAAAGCTTACTGATGAAGATCAAAGCCTTAAGTGTGGGTTACACCTCAACATAAAGAAAATGAAAATCCTCACAGCTGGATCAAGAAGAAGCATCATGATAAACGGAGAAAAGGTTCAGGTTGTCAGGGATTTCATTTTACTTGGATCCACAGTTTACACCCATGGATGCAGCAATCAGGAAGTCAGACATTGTATTGCACTGGGCAGATCTGCTGCAAAAAGACCTCTTTAAAGAGTTAAGAAGCAAAGATGTCACTTTGAAGAGTAAGGTGCTCCTGACACAAGACATGATGTTTTCAGTGGCCTCATATGCAGGGGAAAGCTGGACAAGGAATAAAGAAGGCAAAAGAAGACTTGATGCTTTTGAATTGTATGTTGGGGAAGAATATTGAAAATACCATGAACTGTCAGAAGAGCAAATAAATCTGTCCTGTAAGAAGTGAAGCTGGAATGCTCCTTGGAAGCAAGAATAGGCAGAATTCATCTTACTTATTTAACTCATGTTGTCAGAAAGGACCATCCACAGAAAGCAGCAGTCAGGAAATCAGATGATGTACTGCACTGGGCAAATCTGCTGCAAAAGACCTCTTTAAAGCACTAAAGAGCAAAGATACCTCCTTGAAGACTAAGGTGCCTAACCCAAGCCGTGGTATTTTCAATAGCCTCATATGCATGTGAGAGCTGGACAATGAATAAAGAAGACCAAAGAAGACTTGATGCTTTTTGAGTTGTGGTGTTGGCAAAGAATACTGAATGTACCACGGACTGCCAGAAGAATGAACAAATCTGTCCTGGGAGAAGAGCAACCAGAATGCTCCTTGGAAGAGAGAATGGCCAGACTTCGTCTCACCTACTTTGGTCATGTTGTCAGAAGGGACTATTCCCCGGAGAAGGATTTCATGCTTGGTAAAGTGGAGGGTCAGTGAAAAAGGGGAAGACCCTAACCTAGATGGATTGATACAGTGGCTGCAATGATGGGCTCAGGCATAGCAGGGATTATGAGGTTGGCACAGAACTAGGCCTTATTTCATTCTGTTGTGTATAAGGTAGCTATGAGTCAGAGCCAACCTGACGGCATGTAACAACAACAATATATGTAAAATCATACACACATACATATGGTGATATAAAGGTCTAAGATTTTTATCCCTACATTTTTAAAAAGAAGGACATATGGAAATTATGTAATAAAAATACTTTGTTGGGTTTGAATCTTTAACCTGATTAAAGGTGAAGCAAGCTTTCAGGCTGGTTCTGAGGAACTGAGGAGAAAGTGGGGAGGGGTGGCCCCAGGTCCTGTGCTGGCAGGGATGCTGGTATCCAGCCTTTCATGGCCCTCAGTCCCCCTCTGCTGGGGACAGAGCCTGGGTCTCCCAGAAGACCACCCTGGAAAAAGCTCACCAACTGTCAGACCAATAGATCCCCCTCCCAGTGACCCACTCAGAATCTATCAGACAGTTATCATGGGAACAGGTGATGAGGAAGAAGATCTCCAGAGGATTTGATAACAAAAGGAATTGCCAAACCTGAGAAAACATGAAGGGAACAGAGTCCATCACAGCAGACCGTGAGAAAAGCTAAGAGTTCTCTCCATATTTAGTTATAAAAAGAGACAAGAGTCAAACAAAATGCCACGACAACACAGCCACCATCTCTAAGTGTAATCACTCCATGCACATTGGTGTTTCTCTTTTGAGTCCCACACTGTAAAAGGCTGCAGAAAGCTTGACACATTTAGTTCTGTCTTGGATCATATGTACACATGTACTCACTATTTGGAGCCAAAGAATGATTCCACCTGGTCCACAGTTTCAGCCTCAGGTGCTGACTGAGACGTAAATAAAACTCTTGGGGGTCTGAGTCTTCTGACAGTGGGAAAGGCCCATACAGATGTTCCGCCTGTGCCTTCTCTGATCCACTGAGCTGAAGTCCAGGGTTTATAAGCGATTTTCCTATCTGACTCACAGCGAAGGTGCCCATGATGTCGTGTCTAACAATGACTCGTGTGCTGACCATTCTCTTCAACCTCAGAGATTAGTTGATGTTGCATATTCTCTTCCACATTGGAGATAAGGGAGGTTGTTTTTGACTTCTTATGTCTCAGGGCAAACTTCCAGAGAGGGAGCTGTCTGTCCCAGGTGCTTTTGTCATAGCATGCTTGTGCACGGCCACCTGAGATGGGTTGTTTACAGCATGCTTCTAGGTCTTAGGTCATCTGCATTCATATTATGAGTGACCGACACACATGTAGTTTGAAAGTATTATGGAAGCATACATCATAACATGTATATTATTTTTATTATTTCATTCATCAAAGGGAGTTTTTCTCATGGCAACACTGCGTTAGCTTACCAGCTTATCTAAAACATAATGAAAATGCCCCCACAATGATCCATCTGTAAACACTGTCTGTTTCCAACACTCTGTAAATACTGTGCATCTTTGATTGCTCTGCAGCTCTGACCCTCCGGTTGCAGCTGTGACCCCAACTGTTTTGTCCACATGACCATGGGGAGCAACCAGACGTGGATCTCAGAGGTCACCCTGCTGGGGTTCCGGGTGGACTCAGCACTGGAACATTTCCTCTTTGGGCTCTTCTCTCTGTTCTATGCCTTCACCCTGCTGGGGAACTGGACCATCCTGGGGCTCATTTTTATGGACCCCCGACTGCACACCCCGATGTACTTCTTCCTCTCCCATCTGGCAGTCGTTGACATGTCCTACGCCTCCAACAATGTCCCCAAGATGCTGGCAAACCTTCTGAGCAAGAAAAGGACCATCCTCTTTGTCCCTTGCATAATGCAGACATTGTTATATTTGGCTTTTGCAGGCACAGAGTGTCTAATTTTGGTTGTGATGTCTTACGATAGGTATGTGGCCATCTGCCACCCCCTACGTTACACTGTTTACATGAGCTGGAGGGTGTGCACTGTTTTGGCCATCACTTCCTGGGCATTTAGCTTCCTCCTGGCCCTGGTCCATGTGGTCCTCCTCCTGAAGCTGCCCTTCTGTGGGCCTCATGAGATCAACCACTTTTTCTGTGAACTCCTATCTGTCCTCAAGCTGGCCTGTGCTGACCCCTCCTTCAACCACACGTTCATCTTTGCTACCTGTGTGTTTATCTTAGCAGGACCCCTCTGCCTGGTGCTGCTCTCCTACAGCCGCATCCTCTTTGCCATCCTGAGGATCCAGTCTGGGCAGGGACGCAGAAAGGCCTTCTCCACCTGCTCCTCCCACCTCTGTGTGGTCGGGCTCTTCTTTGGTAGTGCCATTGTCATGTACATGGCCCCCAAATCCAGTCACCCTGAGGAGCAGCAGAAGGTCCTTTTCTTATTCTACAGTCTTTTCAACCCTATGCTGAACCCCCTGATCTACAGCCTGAGGAACGCAGAGGTGAAGGGGGCCCTGAGGAGAGCACTGTGCAAGGAGAGGCCAAGGTGAGGACGTCAAGGAGCCACATGGCAAGGGCTCTGCTGTCGTGGGACATGCACCTGGCATCTGTTACCATGTGCTGGAATAAATGTCACCTTAAAATACAATATTATAGATCAAAACATAAAAGCTGGAACTATCGTGTCTGTAGGAAGATATGCCTTCATGACATCTAAGTGGGCATTCATTCTTAGCGAAGACATAAAAAGCAATATACATCAAGTTTAAAAATGGTACAGTCAACCTTTAAGACTCTGAAGGCCTCATGGTATCTGTCATAACAACCATGCCCTGGCAACAGCAGCCACAGTGTGTAAATGAATGAGTATAGCTGTGTGCCAATAAAGTTTTATTTGCAAACACAAAGTAAGCTGGCCAGATCCGGCCCACAGGGAGCAGTGTGCTGATTATTCTTCTACAACTGGAAGTTAGTCCAGTTCCAGTTGATGCCAACTAAGAGGCCTCCCTGGTGGGCCCCAGAGACCACCCTCTGTGACTAGATCTGTTTAAGGAGAGATACTTGGAGGGCATGTGGAGACCACTCTACAGTGAGTCTGTCCTTCCTTGACAATCCCTAAAATGTGCCATGTCTTAATAGCCTGTGGACCAACACTACCCAAGGCTGCTCCATTATACTTAGGCACTCAGAGCAGGTCCTGCATGCAGTGCACCACTAACCTGAACTTGAGAGCTGAAGAGAAGAGCAACTAAGATTCTGAACGGGAGCATCAGCGATGCATTGGTAACAAGCACTGAGACATTTAGTGCGGGTCCATTTCCTTCAGAAGGATTTATCAGGATCTTTGTTTCACTTCTATTATTGTTTAAAATTTTGTAGCAGCTTTATTAGAAGCACTTTATACCTTTATGCTGAAATCATCTTAGCTTTAATGATCTGTTCAGAGAGACACTAACTCAGCCTGCATTAGCCAAAGTGGCATTCCTGACCACCATCTGCAAGTAGATAGTAACTTTGCCAGGAAACATCCTCACTGCCTACACCTGAGGATAGGTTGGAGTTCTTGTGATAGATCAATGTTCCCATGTGAAGGATGGAGTTTTGCAGACAGCTAGCTCCAGGGAATTTGGAAGCAGAGAATTTCTCTGAAGTTCAGAGCCAAATTACCTCACGTCCAGTAACAACACATCATTTCAAGTCTGTCTGGGTTTCCGGTGGGTACTACCATGTGTTATCATTTTATCCTCCCGTTCTGGTTCTCCAGAGCCCATTTAAAAATGAATATGCTCATTTCCAGCCTCAATACTCTGCACTACAACTTCCTTTCCATTTTGAGCTGTGTCCTGGCAGCAAAATATTCCACTGATTTTTCTGCAATATTTGATTTGAAATATCTTTTTGGCATCTTGTTACAAGAATATGGGCATTTCCAGCTATCACCTATCTTGTTCAAAACATAGATAAGGAGAATGAAGAAATTTGAAAATGCAAAATCAGTTTTTAATCATAAACTTCAAGTTCATGATATGATTAGAACCTAATCTTTAAAAGAAAAAAAAAAGGGAAATCACAAAAATGCATTCATTTTAGACTTTTTGCTTGTCAAATGGGACTTTGACAAAGTCAAAATAGTAAATGTCTGGCAAAATAGTAAATGTTTTCAAATTATAAAGCAAATTTCTGAAATGTCCTGCTGACTACTCTCATACTTCTCCAGTGTTTCTTTGGTGTCTATTTTATTGCACTGGTATTATTTTTACTGGGAGCTCTGGCAGCATAGTGCCTAAGGCATTTTACTGCTAACCAGGAGGCTGGTGGTTCAAACCCACCAGCAACTTCTCAGAAGGAAGGTTAGGCAATCTATTTCCTTAGAGATATCGCCTCGGAAACCCAAGGAGGGGTCGCTATGATTTGGATCCGACTTGATGGCTGTGAGTTTGGTTTTTGGTTTGGCTTACTTTTATTCCATCCTTCTATTTTCTTTGGGTTTGTTCTTTTACTAATTTCTATATTGAACAATTAGCTCATTACTTACTATGAAAGCTTCCTTCTTTACTTATATTCAGTCTACATTGTTTTTCATTTTTTACTTGCTCTCTTTGGTAGCTGTTATTTATAAACTTTAAAACTTCCTGGGTTTTGAACTCTTTCGACATTGGTACTTCTTCCACCATCAATAACTTTCAAGTTTTACTTTGTATTTTCTATATAGATCCTGTCTTTCTCACTTTTGAGAAAATCACTTCACCTAATCTTCTTGCCTTACCTGTCTCATTGCGTTGATTTTGTTTTCCCTTTAATTATGCCATTTCTGTGATCCTTATTTTAACCATAAAGTGTTAAATTTGACCTAATACTTCCACTAGCTCCTTTTCTATGGTGTCTTGTCATTGGTGATATGCCAATACATCTTTGACTCTTTCAGTCTATTTATTATGCTTATTTTTAAATCTTACTCCATCTGTTCAAGTCTATACGCTTCCACGAGGCTGACTGCAATCCACCCAGTGGTTTTTCCTTTGGAACAGTGATGTCTCTCTGCAGTTTGGTCATGTAGGCCTGTAGCTGACGTCCCATGGAGATGCTGGCTAACCTCTTGGTTACTAGTGTGAGAGAAGGGCTAGCAGCCAGACGGGAGCTCAGGTGAGCCTGGTGAGGTCAAGGAATGTTGGCGGGAAACAAACTGTGAGGCTGAAATTCCCAGAAATCAGTAAAACACAGCTCATCCATCGCCACACACCATAGTCCTCCTCTGACCAGGCAACCACCCTCCACTCCTGAGATGCAGCATCAGGAAGAGCCAGGTTTGAACTGTGATCCTCCAGCACTGGGCCTGGAGTGACAGAGTGGGAAAGAGACAGCCCATGGCCACACAGCCCCATCTGTCTGTGGGATCCTCCTCCGAGCACATTCCTGAATGCCAGACTTTGCTCCTGGGCACTGCCCACCACGTTCTGAGCGGTCGCTGGATGTAGAGAAGGGCAGGGCAGAGGCCCCAGGAACAGAATAGCTGCATGCAGGGTCACTGTCCAGCACAGGCGCACCCCCCTCAATCTTGTGCTCTGGA